GGGGAAGGAAAGTGGTCAACCAGTATATACATGTACCTAAAATAAAGGGGGCTTTACTGCAGGCAGACGAGCCTGAAGCAGAACCTGGCTGCCCTTGCTCTGGAACAAGTGAGAACACATGAGTATGGTGGACAACATGTGTTCAAATACATCACCGAAAGCTTAGTTATCTCAAGGATTCCAAATAGTTGAAATTCATAAGGCAGGGGGTCAAAAATTGAGTTCTAGATCATTTGAATGCTGAATCTAAGTTTTCCTAACTGCAAAAGAAGTCCACAAGTTAATTACTTCTTTATTAACCCCCCAAAAGCAAGCAAAAATATAAGATGTATTTTTCACTCTATACTAGTATATCTCTCAATCTATCAATAGGTTTTAATTCAACGTTAAGTAAAACTGCCCTGAAGAGTTTGTTTAGTGGTTAGAGCATCAGTGCCGAAGGGTTTCGAGTTTAATTGCCGGTCAAAGGCATGTACCTCACTTGCAGGCTCAATCCCCATCCGATTCCCAGGTCTGGCTCAGGTCTGGCTCAAGCAGGAGACAACCAATCACAACCAATCGATGTGTCTCCCTCATGTTGATGTTTCTCTCTTTCTTTCTCTCTCTCTCCCCCTTTCTCTCTCTCTCTCTCTCTCCTTTTCCCTTCCTACCTCCATTCTCCCTCTTTTTCACTCTCTCTTAAAAAAAATCAATGAGCCGAAACCAGTTTGGCTCAGTGAAGGGTTGGCCTGCAGACTAAGGGGTCCCGGGTTCGATTCCAGTCAAGAGCATGTACCAGTAGTGGGTGTGCAGGAGGCAGCTGATAGATGATTCTCTCTTTGATGTTTCTAACTGTCTATTCCTATCTCTTCCTCTCTATAAAAAAATCAATAAAATATATATATTTTTTAAAAAGACATCCTTGAAAACTTTACATTAAAAAAATCAATGGGAAAAATATCTTCAGATGAGGATAAAATATAAGTACAACTGAGTTTTCTAAAATAGAAAAAAAATTCTCTTTGTAGTATGCTGTACTTTTCACAGAAAATTATTTTTACAAAGACCAATAAGACTCAGAGTCAAATTCCAAATCCCAATTATATTCATCTCATTTTAAAAAATTATGCTTTGTACTTTTCTAATAACATTTTATATTATGCAATATATACTCAGCCATCTTCTTTAAAAAGTTCTATTATCAATATTTTTAAAAATAGAAAATTCCCTCAATAACAAACAACATGGTTACTCTATCATATTAAAGGAACCATTTTATATTTTCTCTTGATTATCGATAGAATCAGCATCATTAATCTAATCACTATTAGGATTAAATGGTGATATTCCCTCCCAGAATCTGATCTATTACCTTTATAAAGGAAAGATAAAAATCTATTTAACATTATTATATTGTGAGTCTGTTGTGAAAATATTTCCTAAACCCACTTAAGTGATTATAGTCTGAAGAATAACCTTACATAGGGTTTTAAAATGTAAATATGGAGTTTTAAAAAGAAAACAGTAAGACTAGCTTTCCAAGGTTAAAACAGGACTTGTCTTTACCTTTCTAGTAAGTAATATAACTCCCTATCAAGGGTATATGAGGGCAGTGGTTGAGCTTGAACTTATGCACCAGGAGGTCAGGGTTAGATTCCCATTCAGGGCACATGCCAGGGTTGCCAGCTCGATCCTCAGTGTGAGGCATGCAAGAGGCAGCCATTCAATGATTCTCTCATCATTGATGTTTCTATCTCTCTCTCCTTCTCCCTTCTTCTCTGAAATCAATAAAAATATTTTTTAATTGAAAAAGAGCCAAGGAAGAATGAGCCCCTCCAATTCATTCTAACCTAAATATGTTAAAATGACCAGAAGGAGGAAAGCTGGAGATGGAAAAACCAGCAAAGAATCTACTGCAAATGTAGGGGTAGCTGGTTTAAAGTAGAGGGGGAAAGGGGGAGGGGTGTGGTGTGGGAGTGGGGGAAATTCCTAAAGAAAATACCATTTAATAGAGAATACAGGAAAGTAATATTCAGAAATAATAAAAACTTTCCAGAATTGATGGAAGACACTAATCCGCAGATTCAGAAAACTCAACTTAATCCAAGTAGGACTAAGAAAAAAATAAAATAAAAAGATAAATTCATACCTATACATACCCCAGAGAAACTACAAAGCATTAAGGAAAGAGAAAGAGGAGGTCAATAGAGGGGGAAAGAGGGGGCATCTGTAATATTTTCAATAATAAAGTTTTTTTTTTAAAGAAGGAAAAAGAGAGAACATTAAAAGTAGCCAGAGAGAAAATAAACAAAGGAACAACACTTAAACTGATAGATAACTTCTCAATAGCAACAATGGAAGCCAGAAGTCAGTGGATTGTTATCTTTAAAAAAGCTGAGATATTCTTAAACATATAAAGCAAAAGCAAAATGAAACATACCCTCTGAACTCTGTGCACAGTAATAATGAGCACTTATAGCATCCAGAAAAAGTCTCTAAATACCATTGCCCACTAAACTGAAAAACTGAGGAATTGATAAACAACATCATAGAGGGAGATTTGATACATCTCTATAAATAAATAAACTAAATAAGCAAAAAAAAAAAAAAAAAAAGCTGAACACTATAATTACCAATGTTTGTGTGTATGAGTGCACAAGTGGGTGTGTACACATGCATATATTTCAGTCTGAAGTAACAAAGCTAGAAAGGTATAGCAGTGGAAAAGTACAGGACTGTTTCAGGGATGACAGAGTACTGATATGTATTGGGTGATAGTATTAACAATACATGATAGGGCAGTATTGGAGAGTATACAAAATGTAGAGGTAGGGATCATATAATAACTGAATGTTGATATAATAAGGAACCTACAATGGTAGGCGAAATGGAAAACAAGAAATTAAATATAGTCCGGCCCATGTGGCTCAGTGATTGAGCATCAAGCTATGAACCAGGAGGTCACGGATGAATTCATAGTCAGGGCACATGCCCAGGTAGCAGGCTCAATCCCCAGTAGGGGGGCATGCAGGAAGCAGCTGATCAATGATTCTCTCTCTCATCACTGATGTTTCTCTCTCTTTCTCCCTCTCCACTCCTCTCTGAAATCACTTAAAATTTTTTTAAATTTTATTACATATAAACTAGATTTTTATTATTAAAGTGGAAAAATAAGTTATCAAATTATGAATATATACAGATTATTCATTTTTTAAGTGTGTGTGTATATATATGTGTGTGTGTATGAATGTGTTTATAAAATAAAGCAAAGTTTAAAATGATACACATTACTGCAGAGGTGACATATGGGAGTGTGCAGGGAAGAGGGGAAGGTTATATTTTCATTTTATCATTTGTTTTCTGACTATTTTTCATTTCTCTAATGCACATATATTGCTTTTATAATATAAATAACAATAAAATGAAAGATTAAAGAGAAAATAACTTTCTAGGATAGAGACTAGAGTTTAACTGCTAGTTTTTCAACAGCTATAATTAGCATTTCAAACAGGTAGCAACAAGCCAGCTAATCTACTTCTATTATCTGATGGTATCAGGATACTTAATCAGTATGTGAGATTCTATGAAAGGCAACGTTCTACATACTTTCTAAAAATAAATTTCCTAATACTCATCAGAACTGAATAGTATGTTAAAATAATCATCTGTGGCAATTTTTCTTGGACAATTTTTTAAATTATAAAAGTTAACGCATACTTGTTACAATTTATCCAACACAGAGATCATAAGAAAATTATATACACATTATTTTGCATCTTGCAACTTATTCATTAGGACAATTTTTAGATATATTTACCAACAGTTGCAAAATCACACTTTTTATCTATATGAAACAGCTGTGATTGGAGTTAAGATACTTTTGTTTGAAAACCACATGGAATATAAAATTCTACCTAGAACAGTTGGCTGACAAAAATGATAAAAAAGGGCACAATAACAATCTGATTATTGCAGGAAACAGCTTTTTCTTTTTTGTTTTTTGTGGGGGGTTTTTTGCTTGTTTTATTTTCATAATACATCTTTCTAAACTACAAAAGTATTATCAAGTTTGTTTAAATTATCAACAATAGTCGAACAAAAACCAGGCTAAGTAACCTAAGACACTACATGCCCACCCAGGCCACACCAAGTCAATGCCCCTGAGAAATCCCCAGGCGGCTAGGGGGTGTCTCACCAATCCAGCAGAGGGCTGAGTCAGATTCTGAACCACTGCCCCGAAGGGTACTCACACAAATTAGATAAAGTGACCTATGAAGTCACTGTATCCACCCCATCTCAGGAAATCTTGTTCCCAAAGAAATAATAACCCATTTTTTGTCCAGTCCAACTTTTACTATAAACAGAATGCACCTTTCACCAAAGCCCAAGAAGAGTATCTCATCAAAAGTTAATGTATAAGAATATTTTAATAATAAACTTCAATTTTCCAAAGATTTACTAAGTTACTTTTACCTATACTAATCTTTTTCCCTACCTAAAAAATAATAATTTGTTTTCCTCATCGGAGCAATATTCTTCAAATAGTTAATTAATTATAGCTTAATAATTGGTCCTTGTCTAGAACCCAAACTATGTTAAAGTAATTACAATGTGTAAAGGAGACATACTACTATATCAAGATCCTTTCATATTATCATTAGCTATGCTCATGCCCAACCAGTACAATATGCAGTGGTTAAATATGCTGTGTTATTTAAAAAAAAAAAAAAAAAAAAAAAAAAAAAAAAAAAAAAAAAAAACCAGATATATTCATTCAAAGGCAAAGGAGAAAATACACTCAGAATAACATCCTATCTTCTTCAAAATTCCCTAGTTTCTAGAGACATTTTTGTCTCTTATATACTGCCATTAATTTGACTGCTTCATAGCTCTAACACAATTAGAAAAAAAAATGAAATAATGGCATGACTTTAGCAGGCATACATTTAATATGACACAATGAGATAATTACTATTTTCTAAAAGTTGGCTACTTACTGTCAACATTCACTCAAAACTTACTTCCAATTCTTTAATTTTTTCCTCTGCTATTTTCTGTTTCTCTAACAGCTGATTGTGAATTACCTCCTTGGACTGAAGAATAAACCTACAAAACACAAAAAAGTTGAAGATTAAGCCACATGATGACCACTTTATTCATCAAAATCCTAAGAAAACTAAAGGAATATCTCCCAATTTAGGACTAATAACATGCATTGTTACGTTACTGTGACAAACTCCAAAAATCACCACAGGTAAGGCTTCGTGGCAGAGAAGGAATAAAAGCTTAAAAGTAAATTTTGCCTTCTTATCTAAGAAGGGAATTAAATCAGGCTTCAAATAAATTCATAAATAAAAGGGGAAAAACATAAAGGAATAAAAATCTATTACAAGCTAAGAGAAAAGTTAACAAACAATAAAAATCCCCCATACGTTTTATTTTTCCAGTTATCTGTATCAACTTTTATCTAGATTTTTTAAACAATATTTATGAATTAGAACTCTCTCTCCGATCTTTTATTTTTTGTTGTAACAGCAGTAACTCTTGACCTTTTAAAGTCACAATCAAGCACTGTGTTAGGATCAATGCATTAGTGTTTATATGAGTTCCTAACACAAAAAGTGCTGTATAAAGCCTAGTATCTTTTATTATTATTTCCAGAGTGTATAATACCTCTGAAAAGCTCAAAATGCACAAGTGGAAAATTTCAACTTTTTCCATTTTACAGGCAGACATATTATTTACAACAGATGAGGGTGGAAATATGGGGAAGCTTTAAAATTAACACTGAATCTGTTTTGTGACTTTATTTTATGTTTATAATTCTTGCTGTAGGGAAAGGAAGAACAAATTACTTTATAGCCTCAAGTAAGTGAACTGAAATACTTCCCTTCCACTGGAACTAAGGGAAAACCTCAATTACTCAAATCTCTTACAGTATTGTTCTAAAACTAGGCTATAACAAATTTCAATTAAAGATTGCAATTAATTAAGTGAACTGTTTCTTCTCTTTGTACATAGGAGTTTCTAAGATAGAACTATTAATAAACATCCTATCTAATAAAAGAGTAATATGCAAAGTCACTCCAACACACAAGATGGCCGGCAGGAAAGGGCAGTTGTGGGTGATCAAGCCAGCAGGGGAGGGCAGTTGGGGGCAATCAGGTCTGTAAGGGAGGGCAGTTAGGGGTGACCGGGCCAGCAGAGGAGGGAAGTTGGGGGCGATCAGGCCTGCAGGAGAGGGCAGTTGGAGGGGACCAGGCCTGCAGGGGAGAGCAGTTTGGAGTGACCAGGCCAGCCAGAGAGGGCAGTTGGGGAGGACTAGGCCTGCAGGGGAGTGGTTAGGGGGTGATCAGGCTGGCAGACAGAAGCAATTAGGGTAAGGTGACAATTTCTAACAATTTTTTCCCTGCGTCCCACGGCATTTTAAAAAGTCCCAGTTTTTGGAAAGATTGGAAAGATTCTTTCCAAAAATTGGGACTTTTTTAAAACGCCGTGGGACGCAGGAAAAATTGTTAGAAATCTTGACTGTCCCGCCAAAAGCGGGACGATCTGGTCATCTTAATATTAGGGCAATCAGGCAGGCAGGCAGGCAGGCAGGCAGGCGAGCAGTTCAGAGCCAGCAGTCCTGGGTTGAGAGAGGGGTCTGACTGCCTGTTTGGGCCAATCCCACTGGACATCCCTGGAGAAGTCCCAGATTAGAGAGGCTGCAGGCTGGGCTGAGGGAACCCCCCCCCCCATGTACGAATTTCATGCACTGGGCCTCTAGTTTCTTAATAAAATGCCAAACAAGAAAACATATCAAAGTAGCAATATGCAGTTTCCTCTACCAACCTCACAAAAACAACACTGTCTTGATAGGTTCTTAGCAAGAGGGTCTGTTATTACAGATATAAGACAAATAAAAACAGCAATTATCCCTTTGCCCAGACACCCCCCTCTTCTTCATGAATACACCTTGGCGCATAAATTAATACAGTCCTTTGAACTTTGTTTTCACTCCACTAATTATTAAGCCTGTGTCCTGACGTGGAAAGTCCAGATAATTTAACTGATCATACTAGTCTTCAGTTGCAACTAGATCCTTTGTAAAAAAAAAAAAAAAAAAAATCTTACTGATATATTCATGCAAAGCAGGTATTACTCTACAATCCTGTGTGTCCAAATGTTATTAGTTCAAGAGACACAGTGCTATTTTTATAAGATTATAGTCTATAGGATATTTTCCTCAGAAATAATTATGTTTATCATGGTTTGACGTATGATGTTTCAACTTTACAATAACATAAAAGCCATACACATAAAAAAAATTACATGAGATATTCAGTAGTTTATTATAAAATAGACTATGTGTTAGATGACTTTACCCATCTGTGGGCTAGCATGGGTAGGCTAGACTAAGCTATGATGTTTAGTAGGTTAGATGTATTAAATGCATTTTCAACTTAGAATGGGTTTATCGGGATATACCCCATTTTAAGTTGAAGAGTATCTGTGCTTGGTACAGAATTTGTAGAGAAGAGTTGTTTAGAATGGTATTAAGTCTCAATGACACCATGTAAAAAGTATTATAAATCTAGGCCCAATAGTCACCAAATCAGGTCATTACATGCATGATTTTTCTAAGAAAGTATTTTAACTATGAAAATCTTTTGTTTTATTTTGTTTTGTTATTTTTTAAACCTCACCTGAGGATATCCCTTTCATTGTTTTTAAGGGAGGGACGGAGGAAGGGGGAGAAGAAATATTGATGTATCGATTAGTTGACTCCTGCACTAGCCCTGATTTAGGCATGTGCCCTTGATCAGGAACTGAATCCACAACTCTTTGGTGAACAAGCTGATGCTCTGAGAACACTGGCCAGATAGAAAATCATTTTTAGAATAAATACATATTTTTAAATAGTACTCACTGCAGGCCAGTTAGTAGTATTCTCTCAAATAAAAGGTCATTGGACATTATCTTTATTAGTGTCTGGGGAATTTCCAAAGTTAAGATTAGAGGTCAAGTCATTTACTTATGTGACCTTAAAAAATAAATTATCTGAACAGATATTAAATCCCTTGAGCAAAAAATAAAATTATTAGAAAGCAAAAATACTCAACAACCAAAACATGTTTTTCAATGGCCACTCACCCCTGAGATAGCTATATTGGACTGTGCCAACCTCAAAGGCCAGAGAGATGTCACCAAAGCCGGCCAATCTACTATAAGCTTAAGGACATCTGAGCAATTAAAGTCTTAAACAAGGATGAGTATTGAGTAAATGCAAATGTCTACCTTAAAGAGTGATTACATAGTCAAAATTAAAAAAAAAAAAATGGTATGAGAATTTTAGATTAGTCTTCAAATTTAAAAATGCCTAAGAGCCCTGGCCAGATTGCTTAGTGTTTAGAGTCAGCCCTCACAACAAAAGGTCGTGGGTTCGATTCCTAGTCAAGCCATATATACCTCAATTGCACACTGATCCCTGGCTTGGTAGAGCCATGTGCAGGAGGCAACCAATCAATGTGTCTTTCTCATATCAATGCTTTCTCTCTCTCTCTCTCTCTCTCTCTCTCTTTCTCTCTCTCTCTCTCCCTTTCATTCTACACACACACACACACACACACACACACACACTTCCTTTTACTCTATCTATTATAAAAGCAATGGAAAAATATCTTCAGGTGAGGATTAAAAAACAAATATATATAGATAAAAATAAATAAAAATGTCATAGTTCTTGGAAAGAGCTCCAAGAAACATTTGGATTTCCGAAAAAAAGTCTTTCGAACAGCGGTCGCCATCCTTTCAGACCTCACGGACCACTGGTTAGTGACCGCTGCTCCAAAGGTTTCCTTAAACCAGCAGTTGCCAACCTTTCAGGCCCCAGTTGGCAAAGGCTGCTTTAGAAAACATCTTGTCTATTGTTAAAAAGGCACTGAATTATCAGATGCCATTTTGAAGACAAGGGATATATCATGACAATGTAATTATGAGTCATATATCATAAATAAATATTATGTAGATAGTTTCTCAAAACAGAGAATCTCACAAAAATCCTGCCTGATAGTTTATGGAAAGCCAAATGGCAGATTAAAAAAAAAAATCTGGAATTCAGAATGTGCCATAAAGGAAAAATAAACCATGAAGAGGGAAATTATTTTTATATGACAAATGATATGCACAGAATGTGCTTACAATACTCAGGATGACATAATCTAGGCTAGAGTCACTGCTTTGTATAATAAAAGGCCTCTCCTTTGGAAATCAATGCCATGTGGCCCTGCACTGTCAATTATTAAGGGCTCATAACCTGCTGTTTCATTTCCTCACTTATGTGCAGTTCAGCCATCCGAAAAACATAATTTATGTGGCCTTTGATTCTGTTTGAGAAACATGGGAGGCCGTGTTCTGCATTGTGCCACAGATGGTACATGACTCCCACTTTGCTCATGAACCCAAAACATAGTCCAGGATCAGCGGCAATGATGTTTTTGGGAACCCTTTCAAAGTAGACACACACTATTCAGAGACAACGATAGGGTAATGATAATGCCTTCTGTTTGAGTGCGACATTTTTAGAGGACATCTGAAAACATATTCTGAACAGCACTTAGGACATCCACCAATTAAGTGGCACAGAAAAAGCTGAAGAATGAACTTATCCTGTTTCTTTGCCTCATTCCATGGGCAATGAAAACTACTTGCATGTGCACGAAGATCTACATGCAAAAAAATTTTACGTCATGATTTTTAACAAAGGGGAGGAAGAAACCTAAATCCCTTAGTAAGGAAACCATTAACAAATTATGGTATATCTATACTGTGGGATGCTAAATGAGTAGAAACCTCTTTTTATGGCATAATGCAGTGTAGATACCCAAAATACCCTTCCTAATTAAAAACAAAGCCAAAAAAAAATCATTTTAAACATTCTACTGAACACATACAGATGAAGATTCTACAAAGACCCAAAACATAGTGAAATCAGGAATTCTGGAAGGTAAGAAAGCAATAAATTCCCCTTCTTGAGAAACCTGAGAGTTTCTGCTGAATTCTAGAGACCACACAGGCACAAAAACAGGATATAAAATCTATACTAATAAAAGGATAATATGCTA